ATATTAAAAATGCCCTAAAACCTCCTATAATTTTTAGCCCTAAAAACCTGCAAGATGCTGGTGGGGGGACAAACCCATCACCCCACCAGCCATCTCCACAAGTGCGGGCCCCCCTCCGGCCCCCAGGCCTTCTGGCAGAGCCAGGATTTAATCCCTTTCCTGAAGGTTAGACTGGAAAGTCAAAAACATCCTGGAAGAAAGCAGTAGCAAAGCCCTTTCTTATTGCTATCAAAAACCTCTACTTGGATAGGTCCGTAAAGTGACCAAGAGGTGAACTCGATTCAACGGGATTTTTATCTTTTTATTGCCAAAGCAGGTATCCCTAACTTATTCCTACAATATATGTGATCCAAACTAATATAGTTCTATGTTTTACCCCCCGTGTAGCTACATCTTGTCCATAAAATTGCTGTTTCTATTCTGGTGAGAAAGATAGTTCCTCATTCTTTAGTATTTCAGGGATCAATATGAAGTTCCCCAAGGAATTACCAAATTTTTAAGAGGAAACAGAGGATAGTGAATTAAATCAGCAGAGCATTTGGCATGATGATTAGCAAACTAGTCAAGTGTGACCTGAATGGTATGGCAATTAAGTGGATGTACAGCGGGCTTGAAAAGCATATGCAGATTTTCAAGAGCTTATCAGTGGTTCCTGATCAGTTAGAAGAGAAGTATCAAGTGGGGTGCCACAGAGATCCATCCTTGGTCCTGTCCTGTTCATTTTCATTAATGATTTGAATGAAGAGAGAGAGGGAATGCTTGTCAGGTTTGCATATGACCCAAAACTGGGTAGGATAGCTAATACCCTAGATCAGAAATAAAATTTAAAACAAGGTTGATAGAGAATGGGCTGAAAGTAACAGAATAAAAAGTTTTTAATTTAAGAAGCAAAAGGTGTAGGATGGGGGACATTTGGCTTAGCAATGGTACTTGTGAAAATGATCTTAGAATAGTAGTTGATTGCGTACTGAATATGAGCCTGCGGTGTGCTATGGCTCCAAGAAAACGGGGGAGGGGTGATGGCAAGAGCAGTTCTGGCTGCATCCAAGAAATACAATTTCCAAATCATGGGGTATAATTAACCCACTTTAGTGGCTTTGGATAGACTCCACCTTGAGTACCATGTCCAGTTCTGGACAATACTCTTTAAGAAGGCTTCAGAGAAATTTAAAATAGGTTCTCTGAAAGATTACAAGGATGATCAGGAAACTAAATCTTATGAAGAGAGATTGAAGGAACTGGGTATGTTTAGCCTTTGAAAATAATGGGTGAAGGGCGATATAATAGCACTCATTAAAAATCTCAAAGCATATCACAGGTATTGTTTTGACTTGCTCCAGAGTGCAGGTCATGGAATAATGGATTTAAGTTATAAGAAGACAAATTCCAATTGAATATTAGAAAGTTCCTAAAAGTAAAAACAGTTTGACAGTGGAACCAGTTACCCAGAGTGGTGGGCTCCTGTTTATTGGATGTGTTCTGGTGAAGGCTAGACAGCTGTCTAGGATGTTTTATGCTGGATTTCTGCACTGAGTTGGAGTTGATGGCCTAGGATTCTGTAGGTGGTAAAACTTAAACATGACACTTAGAGAACTAAACAGACTAGCTGGACAGCACTGGCTAGATTCAGATGCCATAGATAGGAACATGCTAAGACCTTAGGGCACATACTAGCTCCCCTCTCCTACATGTTCATTTTCTCCTATGTGTCTCTTTACTATTTTTGATGTGATGTCTAAACAAGGCAAATTATAATTACCACAGACAAGCAAGTGGAGCCCAGAGTATATTTTTGGGACCTGAAATAAGCCCATAATTCAGCTTCATACAGTACTTGCCTTTATTTGGAAGGGTAGCTTCCAGCTGGTCTTGAGTTTATATGAAAACACAGTGTACTTATTTTCATGTATCATTTGTTTCAGGTGCCTGAACATGCTCAGCTTGGCTGGATCTTAGGGTGTTTGATAGGCATCCCGCGTCTGGAACATTTTCCCCAGTGGAAGGTAAGGTTTCATTGAGAAGACAGAGGTAAGCTGGCTGGGAAATTCTCCATCACCTTGGTAGCCCATTCTTCTGCCTGTGCATATGCGTAGGGAGAAAATGGGAATCCTTGATGCTAGAGGATGCAGTTGAAATTATTGAACATTAGAATCCTCTGGGTGCCAGATTTGTCCCCCTCCCCTTTGTGGGAGGGGTTCCCAAGGGGTAAAACTCCATCTCCATTCTAGTTTTTGGTATAGTGCTAATATGTAGCTTTTTAATTTGACAGGCATATATCTGTGCCTGTACAGTAATCCACAGCTCTAAACCCAGTTTAATTTATTCCTTTTTTAATGGTGCTCAGCCTATCTGCTTCCCTCAAAGTGGGTCATCAAGTATTAAATCTACAGACCTTATGTTACATTAAATTATTAAAATTCATCCAAGATAGACACTCACACAAACATGCATATTATAGGAATTGATTATTGTACTTTTTGTAGGCTGTTCCTTTACTTTAAACAACATTTAAGCAACTTGCTTGAGTGACTTTCTGACTTTGTACAATATTCTTATAAATCTCAAATATGATTTCTTATTCTACAAATAAATAAATACCATCTCATTTTATGGAAAAACTATCTAGCCTAATTGTAACTATTTTATTCGAGATCAAATAATGAAGAGATTAGCCAAGTTTGTGTTATTTTTCTACCACTAGCTTAAGAATACCAGCCAGGCCAGCGGAGGAACAGTTGGTCTCTTCACCTATCCTGTCCTTCAAGCAGCAGATATTCTTCTCTACAAGTAAGAATGACCAGTTTCTTTACTCGCAAATGGAATCCCTGTAATATAATGTGTCATAGAAAAGGTGTCATTGAATTATTGGGAGCATCCAACTCCCCCCAGTAGAATGGTATCATCAGTGGAGCAGATCCCCTGCCTTCCCCATTACAAGGCCATGTCCACTCTAAGAAGTGGGAGGTTCTCTGCAGCAGATCTTACGGAGACTACTGCTGAAAGTCTGGAAGGAAAGGAAAATAAAATTTCATCCTGCTCCAGCTTCTGTAAACTACCAGCAAACCTAATAGCTCTCATTAGCACTCGTTCTTCAGTTTTCTGAAGGAGTTTGAAATAAGCAGATGGGATAGCACAGCTTTCTTCTTCATTTGAAAGGTCAACACATGTTCCTGTTGGAGAAGATCAAATCCTCCACTTGGAGCTGACTCAAGATACAGCCCGCCACTTCAATAAGAAATATGGGGAGTTCTTTCCAGTGCCCAAAGCCCTTTTAAGTGAGTAAGAAGAGTAACAGATATCACAACGAGCTGCAAATCAATGTGTTTTGGGTGGGGAGCAGGATTGGGCAAGTAATAAAAAAAAAAAAAAAAAAAAGCAAGGGCATAGCCCCAGCGTTGAATCTTTTTGGCAGTCTGAAACAAACATTATATATGTCATCATTCCAACTGGGAAAATATTTGTAAGACCCATCAAAGCTGTATAAAAGGCTGCCTCTCAATAGAATCAGATCTAGAGAGTAGCTTGATACGTGCATCTCACGTCCGTCAAGCCAATCTGCACCTCATGAAGTGAGTTGCAGCTCACAAAAGCTTATACCTTAAAATAAAAATCGGTGAGTCTGAAAAGGTGCTACCAGACTCTTTCTGATTTTTGGCTGTCTTATACTAACATGGCTCTCTTCCTAGCGGGTACAGATGATAATGTCCTATTTTCTCTTGATTGTAGCCACAACAAAAAGGGTGAAGTCCCTCAGAGATCCCACATCCAAGATGTCAAAATCAGACCCCCATAAATTAGCCACGGTGGGCATCACTGATAGTCCTGAGGAGATAAAGCTGAAATTTCGCAAGGCTGTCACAGACTTTACCTCTGAAGTGACGTATGATCCCGAACGCCGCCCTGGAGTCTCCAATCTTGTGGCCATTCACTCTGCTGCAACAGGACTCAGCAAAGAGGAAGTGGTACAGCAGAGTACTGGCCTGGATACGGCCCATTACAAGGCAGTGGTGGCTGAAGCAGTCATCGAAAAACTTGCACCAGTTAGGAATGAGTTCAAGAGACTAAAAGAAGACAGATCTTACCTGGAGGAGGTTCTATGGTCGGGAGCAGAAAAAGCCAGAGAACTTGCAACTCCTGTGTATTGGGAAATTAAAAGATTGGTGGGGTTGCACTGAACCCAAGAAAAAGTAGCTGGCATTTTTCATTACTTCAGTATGCACCCAACTGCATGTTGCAGTCCTCTGTTTTGAGGGTCCAAAAGAGGATTGGTTGTCAAATCTTTCCCTCACATGTATTAATTGTATAGAGCCAGGCTTGGAGACTGCAAAGAGCCAAACTACATGCAATACAAGGAAGACCTCTAAGTAGGGTTAGGGTGGAAAGCTGAATCTCCTCCAAGGGCCAGATTTCCCACCAGACAGATGATTATGTGGGGTGGGACTTCTGGAAGAAGAAGCCCTAGTGGCTGTGTTTAATCATTCCCAGTATCATTTGAGTAGAGAAGACAATTGTAGCTGATCTAGCTTTGTCCTGCCCTCAAGACAGATCGGGAGACAGCAAAGCACTGAGAAGTAAGGTTTTTAAAAACTGTCTTGCCAGTCTGAGTGAAGATGCCATGAAGCCAACTCAAGTGAAAACTCCTCTTTCAAGACATTCCAAGCACGTTACGACAACTGTTACTGAGACTTTGTTGCTCCCAGTCTCCAGCACCTTGAAGGAGCAACAGCTTTCCTGATTGGAAAGACAAGAGTATAGCAAAGCCCTGAAGGAGCTTTAGGCTGAGGAAGCATGGTGAAGTGATGGCTCTTAGCTTAGGGGGAGAGGGAAGTTCAATCTGGGTTGTGGTCCCAGGGGTCAGATGGGGAGACTTGACAGTTTGGAGTTTTCCCATGGGAGTTGAAGATTCCTTAATTGCTTCTCTCATCTTTTCCTTCCCCTTTCCAGTATGAAAGCTGCCTTAGACAACCTGGGCTTGAGTGACAAAAATGGTACATGATTCCAGTGTGCTGTTGCTCAGAATATTCTGCCTTCCTAACACAAGCTTTGATTGCTGATCCATGGCTGAAGAGAGTCTCTCAATGGCATTTGCTACTCTTGGATCCTTAAGTACCAAATACTTTTTACTCCTCTGTTACAGAGCCCATGAAGATAGGAAATGGCACTTTATTCTCTAAAATACACTGTGGGAAAAAGTGGGAAAAGTCAGCCACACATCTCTGGATATTTGGAAAGGGAATGCTGAGTTTATAATTTGTGTTCTTCCTCAGAATAGAGAGGTTATTCCTTCTATTCCATAAGATGTGAATGGCATTCATGCGTCTTTCTGTTAGTATGTTTGCAAGTTTGTTTGAAGAGCAGCTTAACCTATGGAAAACAGGACAACATTATTATGTTGTGGAAGCTTGGCAGACAGAACAGACTCTGCTTTATGATCTTAGAGTTTTTCATGTGTAGCCAAACTGGTTCTGAAACAGACTTCTTCAAGCTTTTTTGCCTTACGTCACAGTGTGAGCAAAGGACTGCAGCCAGAGCCAGGGTTCCCAAACAGCTGCATAGCAACTCCAACTTCCTCTTATTTTGTTTCATGTTTACTAACTTCACAGATAGCCCTAAAAACTCCAGGGCCAGTTTTCCATTGTGATCCCCTTCCATTTAGCATTGTTAAATCATATTCTCGAGAAAATCCCAGATGATGTGGGAGTAGCCATAAATGTATCCGACCTATGCTTCCTCATTAGTACTCTATTCTTTGCAGCCCGCCTCCAAAACTAATTCTCCTCCAAGGCGGGCAGGCAGTTCCCAGTATCTGTGTGTAGGCGTTCATGAGTGCATAGAAACATGCACAACCAGCCTTCCCTTGCCCACTCTGTGGAGGGCATGTTTTTACTGTATGATAATACCCCTGGCAGGCAGGCTGCACGGGGTGGGAGGCGTCCTTCTACACAGCTTCAGTATTATCATGGTTGTGCCCTGTAGCTACACAGCCAGAGTCAGCCAAGAGAGCACTGCCCCAGCCTGACAGCACCTCCTTGCAGCCTGCCAAAGAGCTGATTGGTGGGTTCCCAGGAGAGTAGGAGGTAAAGGGCAGGATGCTAGCATCTTCTGAATTGCCATCTGGAAACTGTTTACACGTGGCTGCCTGCTAACCACAGACAGATTCAGCTCTCTATGCAGACTCATCAAATAGTGCGTTTGAAAACAAACTCAAGCTCTTCATTTAACCAGTTTAGCTCTTTAGAGGGATAAAATTCTATCTGTTGCTGGCTAACTTGCGCAAATGTTCACTCTTGTATGCAGATGTCTCTGTCCTCATCAGCCACCACTGGTTTGCTTTTTAATGTCAAATCGGAAAGGCCCTATGAGATACGCTGCTGCAGAAGAGCACTTGAAAAAAGAATTCAGTGCTTTTCCTGCGCTGTATGATCTTTACAGGTTCTCTTTAAACCCACTGCATTAACACATGAATTCTGCCCATAAGCGAATCCGCATTGATACAATGGAAACAACTGTTGTTATCTCATTGTAATGGGAGTGAAAGATGAAAACAATTATAAAACAATGGCAGCCCTTTGTTGCTGAATGAACTGGAAACCATCCTTGGCGAAATTAGTAAAATGGTTAAAAGGCTGGATGGTGAGTGGGAAATAAGTTGTATTCATTTGGATTCTTTGTTTCCATATGCTGCAAAGGCAGTGAGATTGCTGCTAAAATCTCATTACAATAGGGTGTTTTTGTTATATAGATAAATTGTTTGATAATTTTGATACAGCTTAGCGATAGCATGCTCCATGCAATGTGGCAACAGTCAGGTGGATGAGGGAGGTTTTATGAGAGGAACAGTTCTGCTCTCAGAGAATGCAGGATTACAACCAAAAACTGCGACAAGTCCCCAAGAACAGTATAGGTCCTGTTTCTTTAAAAAGATGTTTTTTATCTCAACGTTATTATTTTCATAAATAACTCGGCAGCGAACACAGCTAATAGTCCTTCCTCCTCCTATTTTCCCCGCATCAACCCTGTGAGGTGAGTTGGCTGAGTGAGAGGGACTGGCCCAAAGTCCCCCAGCCAGCTTTCATGCCTAAGGCAGGACTAGAACTCACAGTCTCCTGCTTTCTAGCCTGGAGCTTTAACCACTAGACCAAACTGTTTCCCTGCCTCCATTTGAAGCATAAGAACTGGGAAGCCAGCCAATGGCTGGACGATCAATAAGACACAGCATGTTGCTGTAGGACTGTGTTCAGCTAATTTTGGAAGAGCGAATAACGCATACTGTCTTTTGGAAGATGGTAGTATAAAAACAGTATGAAATATGTAGTGAATTGATACATGTGACTGAATAAAAATTGTGCCACAATGTTCTAAAACAATGTGATTCCAGGAAGCCATAGCATAAAACGTTGAAATATTACTGCTTGGTAAAGTTATGGCCTACCAACCCCCATGAACCCCCAGGCCCTGCTTTTGGAATAATAAAGCACCTGGGTTTCTGTGAAGATCTTAGATTTTCTTTCAGATAATCAACGCAAGAGTGAACAGTCTGTTGGGCTCCCATCTCCTCATGCTGGCACAGAGAATTCTCTCTCTTCTTTTAAAAAAAAATACCACTCTGCAAAACTTTGCTTCTATACCTGTATCATTTGTATACATATCCATACATGTGCACACGTGTGCTTGTTCTCCTATTCTCCAGCTGAAACTACTAATGGCAGAGACTGAAGATCCATAACCCCCACCTTGTATTTCACCATGCTCATTGCCCATATACATTGAATTTTTTTCTATGCTGCTCTTCCTTCGGAAGAACCATGCTCTTGCAGCCATAAATACTAAAAATTACTTGTTTAAAGTAATTTAAACATGAGGTTCTCAGGACCCCGAATACTGAAGCCATTGAAACAGGCTGTGTAGAGTCACAATCGAGGTCTTGCCCTGCTGACTGCTGGGCCTGTTGAATCACCAGAAATGGGTTGTCTTGGAATACTGCCTTGCAAGTGGAAGTCCTGCATCCCCCATCCATTAAGTTCACCACCTTCCTGCCAAAGCATCAGGATGTCACCACTGCTGGGTACTAACACTTAAGCATGCATCAAAAAAAATACGTAGCTGTACCCCTACAACAGCTTTCTGTCTTGAGTGTTTGAATTTCTCTGTTGATACAGAGATGAGATATTCCAACCCTCCCCATCCAGCCCTTTTTTCTTATACTAGGAGACTCTTATAATCAGACTTTTCAGTCATCTTGGCCCTGCAGCTTGCTTACAAAGAGGCACTGGCTGGCTGCCACTGACTGTGATGCAGCAAGGGGGAGTTGTTACTTGAGATGGCCACCAGGGGGCAATGTCATCTAAAATGCAGAGTTTTGGTGCACTCCGACAGGGCAAAATGGAGTGGGCAAAAGAATGCTGGGTGGATCTCACAGTGATTTGTAATAGAGCAACGAGGGTTTCTGATTCACTTTTCTTTTTCTAGAAAGCTTTGGATAACCAGAAATGGACATGCATGTGAAATGGAAGAGCTCAGTCTGTCTAGTATGAAACAAATTCCTTGGTTCAGAGTACTGTATACTAAAAGGTACCTCTGATTTCATCCAAAGTACAATTTGATTGGCAGGCTGTGACTCAACAACTGTGAAATAGAATAACTACTGAAAGCTCCAGGATTGTTGCTCTTGCGCAGGTCTTGGCACCATTTCACACGTTACAGATCCTTAAAGATAGGAAGGCCACTGAGTAGACATTCCACACGGAACTTCAGCCAAGCCTGGTCTGCATGATACAGATGATGCATGCAAGTTTAAAAGCACTGCTTGCTGCACAGACGTTTTCCATTTTTAGCTGTACGACGTGAACCTGTAATAGGTGAAGTTGTTTAACGGCTGAAGTTCATCTTCCATCATGCTCCTTGGGTAATCCTGAAGAGTCTTTAGCTTGGACTATTCCAAATGAGAGCAAGGCTGACCTTTGGATTTTAATGCAAAGGATATTTTTAGAAGCAGAGAAATCAGAAACTCTGGCTACTCTCGCATAAACATGATCATTATGCAAGTGTGTACATTTAGGGAGAAAGCAGTTGGCATGTTATTCTTTTTTTTCATGCCCATCTAGATATATGGAACTGTTCAACGTTAATCAGATACATTCCATAATACAGAAATGCGACCTATGTAATAACAACTTTCTTACAGCCAACAGAAGAGAGGCTCCTTGTTCAGCCCTCCACCCTACAGTTCCTCACTCCAATCCATAAAAAGATGTTTTACTTGAGATCATTTCCTGGGGCGATGGGTATAAATAGGAGATATAGTTCAATAGCCCTAATTTCAAATGCTTGTTAAATTTGTATCCCATCTTTCCATCAAAGGGTGCTCAAGTTCCCTAGTAAAATGCAAAATAAACTACAAAGTGATAATGAAAACCAAACATTGGTAAAAACACATCAGTAATGTCTATCTAAACAATTATTAGTTAAAATATTTTCAACAACTTTATTCAGCATCTGAAGTTAAAAATAGATCTTCATGATACAAATCACTTTGCCCCAGACATTAGAACCATAGATCTTTCTGGATACGCCTAGGGGAAATCAGTGAAAAGCTTCCCACCCACCCCACGTCTAGATTGCAAAACAATTTTGGCAATAAAAAATGTGTCTCTCCTGAAGATCTTGAAACTTGGGATATGAGAAAAGGCACAGCATCCAAGAGTCTGGTGGTCCCAAATCACACAAGGCTTTGCAAGCCGTAACCAACGCTGTGAGTGATGCCCCCAAACTGGAATTGCTCTATCAATGCAAGGAGTCATCAGAAGGTCAAAGTCTGAAGGACTGGCAGTAAGTCAACAAGGGTTTCTGACTCCCAGAAGTTGTTCAGAAGATGTGCCCCTTTTCTTTTACATCCAATTCTTTTCCCATTTTTTAAATCCTAGCCTTAAAGGAAACTGGCAGTTCTGGAGCTTGTGTGTGGATCCCTTCTACTACTATCCAGCTTTCTTCCTGTTTTTAAAACCATTTGCTATTACACTCAGGCTTCCACCACGTGCCCACAGTGAGGTGACAGCCATCTAGGTAACGTTGGCTAATCCGCAAGTGCTAAGCAGGACTGGACCTGCTTAATACTTGGGCAGAGCTGAATTTGACTCCTGGAAGTCTTTGTCTCAGCAAGGGTTAACATCTGGCCACTTCTGTCTGGGCTCAAAAGCTAAGCAAGGCTGGTTCTGGGTAACAGGACACTAGAAGGCAGTGATAGACCACTTCTGTACTGTTCTAGGAAACTTGTGAGAATGTGTCCATGTAGTCACGAAGAACAACTAGACTCAAGGCCATCTTTATCTTCTTTTTCCCCACTGCACAGCACATCCACATTACTCAGTGGAGAGGGTAACAATTGTCACTGACTTCTTGCTTGGGCTGGTGATTGATGGCAAACTCTTAGTAATGTGCTTTGCAAAGTCCATGCCTGCATAATGTCATAACTTAGTATTTGGCTTAGGGAAACAGTTTCAGTATTTATTTAGTGACTATTTTAAGGGTTAGCAATGCATATTTCATTTCATGGGTGCTAATGACCAAGTGAACCTGTAGTTGGCTGAATCTTACCCAGCAGCTTGTGCACAGCCTCAGCCCCCACAAACTGACATTCATCCAACAAAACAGGATGAGACAAAGCTTTGAAAGCCTTCAAGGATCTACATATATCCACATACTGTGGGGTCCAGATGGCAACAGATACAAGTAATTTAACCTTCAAATTGCCTCACAGATCTGCCAGGGCATTACCAAGGATCCAATTACATCAACACTAGGTCCAGATTATAGAAGGCCCCTAACCATTAGAGGAAGGATGTGACAGCAAGGATGCAACTATAGATTCCATAATGAGCTCTCACTAGCATTTGGTGTTAATTGCTCTAAAATTTCCTCTACTTGTCTTTATGTGTCTCCCAGCCTTCTCACTTGCCCTTAGTTCAGATGAGTATTATGGAGCTGCCCAAACTTTGATAAAAAGGAAGTCTCCAAGTGATTGGGTCAGTTACCTAAGTCATCTCTGCATTCCACTGATTAACCAGGTATTGCCAGGGATGTCAGAAAAACCATCTCCAAATTCTTTAAAGCCCGTAGGATCAGTTTGAAACCATCATTCCCTGGAGTTAGACTGACTAATCTAAGAGGTTCCCACCCTCTTAAACAGGGAAAGCTACTCTAAATCTAAATATAAGGAGATCATGATAAGGGAAAAGTTCTAAAATCATTTTCTTTTAAATCATTGCCTCTTGCCCAGTAGAGAAAATGATATCTAGAACAGTGATGTCAACATATGGCCTTCCAGATGTTGAATTTGAATTTCCATCAGTCCTAGCAAGCATGACCAATGGTGATGGGAGATGAAGTCCAACAACATCTAAAGAGCTGTACAAGTTGTCCATTCCTGGTCTACAGGATAATCTGCCACATGTAAAATGTAAAATCCAATAAAATGTAGGGTCAGCCCCACGGTTTCCATACAGGATATGAAATCCACAGCCAGTCCTGATCCAGGAACCTCAGCATAGATATTGAGGTCCCCCAGTAAAAACAC